GGGGGTTTAATATGTTCGTTAATAGTGTTTTCAATTCACATCTTCACGATTTGCTGTGTCTGTATGTAAGTAAATGCTCATTCCATCTTTTTGATTTCAGATTCTTGTTGCTGTTTGATTGGGGTACTAAATTGTAGCACCTAAAAGTAGTTCTTAAAAGTGTTAACAATTACTTGACTGATTTTGTTTTTGCCTCATTTACTGCTTTTGTTTCTTTTCAGATAAAATTCTGAAGGATGGAGCTCCTGTGGTTACTTACAGAATTTTAGGTCCCCTGCTCCTGGGTGTGGTGAGAATATACTCGAAGAAAGTAGAATATCTTCTACATGATTGTAATCATTTTCTTGTTAAACTTGGTGATTTTGCAACTCACAAGAGATCAACAAGCAAACTATCAGCTCTCAGGATTGAGGGTCTGCGTGCTCCTAACTGCTCTATCAAACGACCAAAGAAATTTGAACTGGATACTTTTGAATTGGAAGTCTTGGAAGATCAAAATGCAAGCAGGTGAAATATGTATACTGTGCTGTCAAGTGCCAATTTGTATATTTTGTTTTTCTTTTTTCCTTTCACGGTTTCCTGATTGTTTGTTTGGGGTTAATCATTTCAATCTTGGTTTGCAATATGCTGGTTTGAAGTGGTCATGTGGCATCTCGTGAAGAAATTATGCTTTCAGGTACTGCACATCTCTGTGTTTTTTCATCCGCGGGTACTTGGTTATAACTTTTCTGCTTTATGATCAGATGCTTGGAGAAGTGAGCAAACACGCTTTGGCTTATCTAGCAAGGTAATCGTTTAATTTATTATCACTTTTTGGTCTTTTAAAAGCATATTTCTCTGCACGTGGAACTACTAACTAGGTTTTATTTCTAAAGAAGAAGGCAGAATACCTCACTTTCTGCTTTCTATTCACTAATATCACTTTTACGCTTGGCAAGAAATACTTCTGTTCCTTGGATATTCAGTGGTTCTTGTTAAACTCTTTGCCAGGACAAAAAATTAGAGGATTACTAGATCACCTGGATTGTTGTAGTGTATATTATCGTATCAGTTTACTATTTGTAGATTGTTGTGTGCAAACTGGTCAGTGTGATTTGTACTTGTCAAGATATTTCATTTATTAAAGTAATTGCTTTTCTTTGAACATGTACCGGAAAGTGTTAGTGGTGCCTGTGTTCAATTTGAGGAAATAATTTGATTGATCAAGCTGCTAGTTTCTAATGGTACTTGAATAAGAGAGAGTTTAGTGCTGGTCACCTTTATTAGTTTTTTCTAATGATGTCATGAGTTGCTTGGAATTTCTCCTTAACTACTTCCTTGTCTTTTTCTTTTCAATGGATTTTCTTGCATACATGACAATTAAGCTGCTTCTTACAGAACGAANCCTTTCAATGGATTTTCTTGCATACATGACAATTAAGCTGCTTCTTACAGTACGAGGAAGATGTCTCTCGTTCAGAGTCTTTGACCACAGATCACACTCCAGTTAGAGAGTATGCTCTGATTCTATACTTCTCTTAATAAACATTGTAGTTCTAGTGCTAAGAGTGTTAACTTTTCATGGTGTAGCGTATGTTCACCTCATCTGATGGACAAAGATGTTCACTTCCGCCCATCACTTGGCTCAGGCCACTCGGCAGCGCTGTGGCACCTTAATGGGACTAGGTTCTCCTTAGAAGAGCGCTTTGAACCTATGACATTTGGGGACCTTGATTTTCAGATGACCTCTGATAAGACAGCTGATCACCAGACTGATGAGCAGATGAAAGAGTCTAATGCTGGGAACTTGGTAAATGAGGAGCACTTTTTTGAAAAGAGGTCATCATTGGAAGAACACGCAGAACCAATGATTATCGTAGACACTGAAGCAGGAACCAATATTAGTCAACAATCTGAGAAAATTCGTCAGCCAATTGGGCTCTTAAAACACCCTGATACAGGAGGGGATTTAGATGATGAAGGACCCGCAGGCGTTGGTGAATCATTTTCCGTGGAAAAGCAACAAAAGAAAAATGCTGAAGCATCTTCCTCTAGAAAAGGGAAGGATCGGACTGAACATGATCGTTCAGTGTCNAAAAAATATCAAAGAAAAAAAGGAACCAGAGTCCCCTTTTCAATTTATTTTTGGTAGCTTGTTGGGTACAAATCTAATTTTGTTCACTTTCGATACTTAAGCAGATAGGTTATGTTTCTTAACACAGCTTTGTTGTTTAACCAACAACACTTTCTTTCAATTCAGGATCTACATCACCAGATTTCATATCTGTTCGCACCCCAGCTACCAAAGAGCGTACTCGGATTTCAAGGAAGCGGAGGTGCATATTTGATGAATCTATCGTCATCCCAAACAAGTATGATCCTTCTTGTCTTTTTCAACCATTCAAGGTCTGCACTAAGATAATCCTGTGCAGGATAGATTCGCAGAGATGAGGCTTTTCATTCTGCGGTTCCATCAGTAGGATAACTGACAAAGATGTAGCAGTTTGGAAAGTCATTTCGGCATATAGAATAATGGACAGTCATTATAGTTTCTTCTGGAGCTCTCAATTTCTTTAGATCTGGACTGCTATTGCCAGTGGCATGTTGAGTTCTGTGTCTTAACATTTAAATGCTCTCTTTTCACACTTGTACTATTCATCTTATTGTGGTTATGTCATGCAGTCCTACAAGAGAGTTTTCAAATGAATCCTGTTTAATTGATAGTATGAAAATAATGATGTTGTGGATGCCCTCCATGAAAGCCGCTTTTTTGGTTTCTGCTGATGATTCTTCTTGTTGTAACCTTCTTTACAAAGTCTTGTTAAGTTCATTGCATATTTAGAAAAGATTGGTGTGACACAATCCAACCATGCAGGGTATACAAGCGCTGGATCGGTGATGCGAATGATTTGGTATGCAAGAGAAGAAAAGCCCCTCATACCAGTTATCTTGCACGGAAAGTGCATAAAATTTCCTCACTTCCTCAGAGTTTCGAGGAGCCTTTAATTCCTTGTGAGTAAGCTTTTCGATGCTGCTGCTGCCATTTCCGTGTTTTACGAAACTTAACTAACCAACCATGGCAATGCAGGTGGTGATTCAATTGATATTATATCTGCAATTTGCAAAATTAGATCAACAAGGGATGGGCCTGCTGAAACAGTAGAAGTTCCTCCGCATGAGGAAATACCAGGTTCTCCTAATACACTCAGATATGGGGAACAAATACCTGGTTCTTCTGCAACATCTATGCAGGAGGACATACCCATTGCTCCATTGTCATCTCTGCGTGAGGACATACCTGAATCTCCTGGTAAACTCAGATGTGAAGAACAAATACCTATTGCTCCTGCACCACCTCTGCATGTGGGTATACCAGAATCTCCTAATACACTCAGATATGATGGTGAACAGACACCTATTGCTCCTGCAACACCCGTCACTGGCTCAAGCTCGTTGAGATTTCATGACATGCAAGGAATTTCTAGATCACACAACGAACCAGCAAGTTCAACTGAAAGCACAAAAGAAGGAGCACCCCAAATGGAGGATCAAGAGTTGGAGATGGATTTGATGGATGAGGTATAACATGATTGAGTAGTCCGATTCCCGACTTGAGTGCAGGAGATTGTGTTGAGTTATAGAAGTGCATTGTAAAGATTAATCTGTTGTTTGTTTCATCAGAATGTGTTGTCGTCCATATCTGTTATTTTAATGCTAATAAGCGCTAACTGTTGCAAATGCCCTCTTTCTTCAGGAGATAAATTCATCTGAAGGGGATATCTCAGAAAAATGTAAGACAGTACTGGCCTTTTTAGGTTTTTTGGAGGGTAGGGGGTAATATGATCTAGTGGATCATAATACTTTAGTTGGATGCCATTCTTATAAGTTCTTGTTTTGGTTGCAGATAAGTTTTCCTTGAGAACAAGGTATGATGAATGGGGGATCTCACTGCCAGTTTATTCCCCCTACCCCTATCTTTTTGTTACAACTCCCAGAATCTTGCCGAAGATTTCTTTCTTCTGCTTTTGCTAGAGATTCATTCTGTTGCTTTCTTGCATGCAGAAAAGTTGCCAGATTTCTGCTTGAAAACTTTCTTTCTCGAAAGGGCAAGGAGAAAGTAGAAGTTGTTAACTTGTCCTCCCTTCTGCAGGGGAAAACAAAGAAACAGAGTTCAAGGGCATTCTACGAGATACTGGTATTGTTTCTGGCATCCATTAAGCTTTTTAAATCTTTCAAGTTTTGGTACATACATTAAAGAGCTTTCGAGCAGGAGTTCGTGTCCCTTCTGTCGATCAGCTGTCTGTACTCGATTCATTCTGTTCATGTTCCTCTCCTTAACTTTTCCAAACCATTTAACTTGTTTATTGGTACCTCTGTATGTGCTTGCTTCACTTGTAGCCGTTCTAAACCTTTTCTCTTAACCTCTTTTATGGAGAAAAGGGTTTCTTGGAGTGTTCTTTCTTTTATTTTTGTTTGCATCTTTTGGTGTTTAGTGACGTGGTCTTCCAGCAGCTAAGATCCTCACAATAGCATTCAGCAAATGATAATTCATAGCTAGAATTGAGGTGGTAATTGAATCTGAAGTCGTGAGAGTCCCATTTGGATCACTTCTTTTGAGCTCCATACTGGTGCTTAAACCAGATGTCCTTATTTCTATTATGGTTGGAAAATCATCTGCCTACTTATTCTTGAAAGATTTGCACCTATAGAGCACATGTAAAGCACCGTTGGGTTGCACACACAGCAGATCTCTCTCTATCTATACTTATTCTTAACTATTCTTGACGTGAGTGTCCGTGTTCTTTGCGTACGAGCAGCTTACCAAATGCTAATGTCAGATAGGGTGGATATGTAGTTATATATTTGTCTTTGTATATATCTGGACACAATGCGATATGCACATAGACATATTGTGTATTAATTACTATGCTGAATTTTCTTACAGGTTCTGAAATCAGGAGGATGGATAGACGTGCGACAGGATGATGCCTATAGTAGCATTCTTTTGCGAGAACTTCCTAGACTAAAGCAGACATTTGAAGCTAAGGGCATCCACTCAAAGTCCTGATCTGTAACTATCTTAACATAGGTTGCAGTGTGGGTAAATAGTAGTGCAGGAAACGATCACATGCTTACGCCTTTTCTTAGAGCAGTGTATGTAAAGAGTAGTAGATGGATCAATCACTTGCATATTCCTTTTTGCAAGTACCTGATTCTCTTTAGAGTCTGTAGTTGGGTGAGTAGGAGGATATAGAGTGAAAGAGGAAGGAACAGTGACAGATTGCATCGTGCTCTGTGCTTGGCTCTTTCACTTGGGAGAAGTGAATTCAACAATCTCCTATGAGTAGAGTTGGATTATTGTAAATTATCATGTGTAGGATCTTCTAACTTATGAATGGTATAAAAAAAANTTATCAAATTAATGTTACATAAATGAAAACACAATCTCCAAAAAGTATATGCTAACTGCTCGTTTCCCATGATTCTACACCTACGCCAATAACACAAATATATATATTCATCAATAGATAAACTTTAGACGAACTAATTTACCAGAAAGAAAAAAAAAAAAAAAAAAAAAAAAAAAAAAAAAAAGGAAGGGTCGGACTACAAGGGTCTATTGTACGCAGCCTTACCCTGCATTTCTGCAAAATGCTGTTTTCACGGCTTGAACCAGTGACCTCCTGGTCAAATGGCATCAATTTTACCTGTTACGCCAAGGCTCCGCTTTTAACTTATGAATGTAAATTTCGGAAAAATTACTTGAATTTGTTGTCAATAATTGTGTAGCACTTTGACAAGTACTGATAGCTACTGCACCTACTAATAGTGATGGATTACTGGAATTATTGTGTACATTTGAATGAGTAATATCGATGGATTCTAAACTTCTAATAGTAGTTGGAGTGAGATCTACATATATTGAACGGTAAAATAAGCATTTTACAGCAGGTTAAAACTACTGAAAAATACAACTTAAAAATAAGAAAATCGTGGATCCTAGTTATAAACAAACAGGGTTTTGGGGTTTGGTACTATGTGGCATGAAGTAGTGTGTTAAGTCTTGAATATTTTGATCGTCATGACTAGTGTCTATGGGGGCATTTAATAAATTTTTGGGTAGAGATTTAAAACATTTCGTCATTAAGGTTTTGGTCATATTACTTTGTCATAATCTTAATTTGAGACTTTCTGGAATTGCTATCGTACCTAAGGTTTAGTTGTGCTTTAAAAAGCTAAATAACCGACTATGAAACTAGAAGCAAATTCTTATTACTATATGTTAATTTTCTAAACGAGACATTATAAGATCTTTATGCCAAGCATGTATTGAGGTGCTTATAGAAAAGTTTAGAAGATATTTCCTAATTGCTCTATTAAAAAAAATAAAAAATTATCAATTCATTAGCATTTCTAGTTAGTAATCTACCATTTCGAAATTATGTTAATTGATAGACTTTTAGGTTGATCTAAGCATCTCGAATCCCATAAACTCACGTTTTATCCACAAAGTGATCAATTTGTGGTTAGATATTTCTTGGCAATCAAGTGTTTCACGAAGATCCATTATATTGTTTCACATGGATCAAATACATCACAACTAAGTCTTTATCATTCAATATCAGATTAATATAATGATACTCATAATTGATTAATAAAATTATTTTTCTCTTTAAAAAAAAGGTTGATCTAAGCATTATCATAACTTCAAGAATAAAAAGAAGTTTTATACATGCTTAAAAATAGTTATTCAAGTAGCTTTCTCTTTTTTTTTCGTTCTTCATTTTGGGTGGGTATTGTTTAAGGCCCAATCGTAGCCTCGGTCCTTAAGAATCACAGAAGTTAAAGAAACAAGAATCCGCTGATATCGTCCTTTAATCAGTTCGTTGCATAGCTCGGTTGTGTGTAAGAAGAGATGAATCTGAACATGAATTCAGTAGAATCACTGGTGGCTCAAATCCAAGGGCTATCGAGCAATCCATCAGACGTAACTCAGCTCCACAACTTCCTCAAACAATCGGAAGAGCTTCTCCATTCCGACTTCGCTCGTCTGTTCTCTTCGCTCGCTGAACTTGACCCCAACACTCACTCCCTCGGCTTCCTCTATATCCTGTAAACTTCCCTTTTTCCTTTTTATCTTTTACTATGTGTTTATTCCCAAGTTTTAGGGTTTATGAGGATTCCCTTATTAATTTTGGATTTGAGGCACACTTGATTAATTAGTTGATTACATAATCTTTAATATCACAGAATTTAACCATCTGTGGAATAAAGCGCAGTGTGTGTTTAACAGCAATATTGCAGGCATTGTTCCCTCAACTTTCAGTTTATTGCACTATGTCGCTAAAACTAGAGTTCTAACTTGAAGTCACTATACTACTTTTTGTAACCAGAAAGTCACTTAACTATGCCCAAGTGTCACAGAAAATCATTAGGAGGTAACAAAGGAGATATTTTATGTTATACTTAGGCAAAGTTGAATGACTCTTTGGCTGCAAAAAAAATTGTCTAGTGACTTTTTGTGATACTTGGGCAAAGTTGACTGTTCTTTTTCTTTGTTACCAAAAAAAAAAGTTTCGTGATATTTGTGCAATAAACAAAAAGTTGAGTCACTATAGGTGAAATTAACCCTTGTACTTTGTCTAGTGTGTTTTGCTCATATGGTTATGTTTGTTAACTATAACAGGGAGGCGTGCATGTCTTTCCCAGCTGCAAAGGAGCAAGTTAATGAATTGCTTGTTTCTGTCGTAAGATTTATCAATTCATGTGCTGCAGAGCAAATTCGTTTGGCGCCTGATAAATGTGAATTGCTTTGATCTCTGGAATAGGTTGTTTTTGGGAATATTCATGTTTATGGCATGAGTTATATTGAGGCTTGTATGTTATTTTGTGCTTGCAGTCATTTCTGTTTGTAAAAGGTTTAAGGATCAAGTTATATTGCTGGAAGCTCCAATTCGTGGTGTGGCTTCAATGCTGACTGCTGTTCGCAAACTGCAATCCTCATCTGAGCAATTGACGACATTGCATCCTGATTTTCTTCTTCTTTGCGTATTAGCAAAGTGCTATAAAACCGGAATCACTGTGCTGGAGGATGACATATATGAGATTGATCAGCCACGGGATTTTTTCCTTTATTGTTACTATGGGTCAGTAGCTTCAGCTTTGAGTTCATTTCGGTTGTGGTGGCTTTGTGTGTCCTTTCCCTTTTGCTAAAATTTCCCCTTTTCTTTTCTGGCCCTCGGTTCTGAACACGGTGGATAATGGGCCCCGTCTACTAAGGAAAAAATAATGTACTTCAGTCAATTATCTCCCAAAATATTTTTTGGTTCAACAATCTCCCAAAAGAATTTAATATTGCTCAAAATGGGTTTGTCATTCTCAGCTTTGGGCTTTGTTGCATTAACTTAAATAATGTGTTGGATGTGCTATGATATTGGAATTACTTATTTACCTCTGTCTCTCTTGACATTGTGTAGCTTCACAAGTTTCAACAACAAAGCTTTTAACACCCCCATCCTCAATCATGTGTTTTGCTGATGTCACCATTACTAGAGGACCTTCATTAAGTGCATCATGGCAAGGGGTGCTCCCTAATACATGATCTTTTAGTTACTCATGCAATATTTATGGATTTATGTCTTACAATTGTCGATATGTCTTATAATTTTGACATAACAACAGGGGGATGGTTTGCATTGGACAAAAGCAGTTCCGCAAAGCATTGGAACTCTTACACAATGTATGTGATTGTTTTCTCATTCCAATTTCTTTTGTTGGTATTTGCTTTTGTTTTTTCATAATCTCAAGTTACCTTACGTAGAATATGACTGTTAGTTTATGCTGATTCTTGCTGATATTTGCTTTTAGGTTGTGACAGCACCTATGTCTACTTTGAATGCAATAGCAGTTGAAGCTTACAAAAAGTACATTTTGGTTTCACTGATTCATGTTGGGCAGGTTCGTTTTTTCCCACTGTTTTTACTTGCTTTAAATTATATAATAATTTCTGTGAGCAATATACTATCTTGTTGAGACATCTCTGTTGGAGGGCAGTTTATAAGATTTATGTGGGTTCTTTTCTGAGGACGGAGCAGTCATCAAATGACAAATATAACCTTCTTTTTTCAGGACATGGTACTATTACTCATGTATCTTATTTAGGTGTAACAGAAAGAGTCATAATTTTGGTGCCTAGGGTAGTCTAGGGCTCTAGGCCATGTAGTGAGAACTGACTGGTGATTGGGTTGGATATGAAAACATGTTTTAGAAAATCTCATGTAAACACCACCTATCCACCTCACATCCTCATCGCCATTCTGCACACACGCACACACACCAATAAAAGAAAAAGAATCTGGGGGACCATGTTTGTGCTGTTCATCCTGCCTGGTTTTCATTGTCCTGATTAAATTGATGTTTACTTCTACTGGCAGTTCTCTATCAGTTTTCCGAAGTACACTTCGTCCGTGGCTCAAAGGAATTTGAAGACCTACGCTCAGGTAATTATGTCATTGTGCAAACATTGGATCCAAGTAGCAATGATCTGCTCGCAGCAAAATGAATGGAATTTGTGTTTTTTTCCTTGTTTGATTTTGGACAATGCAAGATCTGTTGAGCACACACAGTTGGTATTAGAAATGATGTATTGATCTGGGTGATGTTTCAAAATATAAGCATTGCATTTAAATCGGTATTAGTGGGGATAATTGAAACGAGAACATACAGCAAGTGCTTTCAAATTAACAACATTAAGTTAAACTGATGAAAATAAATTAAGGAGTTTGAAGAAGTGGCATCTTTTGTTGGCTCATGGCATTTAGGAAAACTGTGCTCGCTTGTATGTATAGCCAGTTCAAGTTATGAGACTTTCCTTTCAAATCATTATTGAGTTGGTATTGCAACAGCTTTAGGCAGTAGTCTTTTCTCTATTTGACGGTCAGTGGCCCTCCTAAAGGTAGTCTTGCTATAGCAAGCTGGAGGATGAGGGATAATGGGAGCAGGAATAAAGCAGCATGGGGAGCTAGTCTGCCATCCTTTTTTTGGACGAAATGAGAGATAGGAGGATATCTCAAGGAGTGAAAGCAGCTTAAGACCTTTAACACCTTGTGTTTTATTAATTATTTTTTTTGCTTTAAAGGAATAACTCATTTTTGGATAGGCTTGACAGGAGACCGAGAAAGTCTTTCGTACACGAGTACATATGCTTTGGCGCTATCTCGGTGATTAATACAATAAAAATTTGATTTATCAAAAAACAAACAAACAGGTGAGTGGTAGAAATCTGATTAGGGTATAAATGGAAAGAGATTAAACAGACAACAAGATCTAGGCCAATTCTCTAGCATGTATGCTCTTCTTGTGTAGAATATAACATGGACAAGATTATGCACTTCCTTTTTATGTACATTTAAGTTAATGATTCGGTTTGTTGGCATAGTCATTGCATGTAATGTTAGTTGATGTAGTGTGATTCAAATTTTACCAAGATGTTAATTAGGCAGTTAATGCAAGAAAAATAGATTGCTGGCTTTTGTTTTGTTTTGGAACACATTAAAACCTAAGTGAGTGGATTTTCAAAATACCAGCTAAATTAATTTTTATTTTTGTTGTAATCTGGCCTATTAACTGCTAATGACATCGGGAGAATCCTACGTTTCTTTTATGAAGTCTTATAAGGAGGACTAGTAAGCATACAGTTTCTTAAGTTTTTTGTCTGCCAAAATTGCTTAGTTGGTTTTCACTTTCCGCTTTGCAATTCTGACTTGTTAACCTTTATGGATATCGGAATTCTATTTTTGTTTCTTATAGTAAGATTTGTCACCTCTTATGCTAAGAGCAGGCTTTTACTTATAATTATTGTCTGTCTAAATAGCCTTCCGCTTTTCTGGGGAAAATTACACCTGGTATGATCTACTAATTTGTTTATTTTTCCCTTTTGAGCAGCCCTACCTGGAGTTGGCAAGTAGTTATGGCAGTGGTAAAATTGCTGAGCTTGAAACATTTGTTCAGACAAACAAGGAAAAGTTTGAAACTGTAAGTTCTCTGAGGTCACACTGGTGCATTTCTTTGTCTTAGAGGTGTTAAGATGAAAGCATGGGTGCATAGTAAAGCTCTCTTATCTGGTATCTCAGCTCATACTCCCCATGAGAGTCTATCTTTGGTGAAAGGTGTAAATTTCGATAATCCTTTCCTTATTTTTCAGGACAATAATCTTGGATTAGTGATGCAAGTAGTGTCTTCTATGTATAAGCGCAATATTCAGCGGTTAACTCAAACATACCTAACACTCTCCCTTCAAGATATTGCTAACACTGTCCAGCTAAGAGGCCCTAAAGAGGCAGAAATGCATGTGCTTCAGATGGTAGGTGGAGATCTACTGGGTTGTGTTAGTCTTCAAGGCTGAATCTTGAAATGTTGATGTTTCACATTTGGTTACAGATTGAAGATGGTGAGATATATGCAACGATCAACCAGAAGGATGGTATGGTTAGATTTCTGGAGGATCCTGAGCAGTATAAAACATGTGGAATGATTGAACACATCGATTCATCAATTAAGAGGTGAGACTTATGTTATTTTGGTCATTGGAAATCGAGTTTCCAAGAATTTAATTTCCCTTAAGCAGCTCATTAGGTGATGTATCCTAATAATTGCACCTATGACTCTTAAGAACTTGATATGTTCTCATATTCCTTTTTAGATTACTTTCAGGATCAAGTCAATGTTTTTTCTTGTAATTAGGCTGTCATTTTTTCTGTTCAATGTGGTGGCGACTGCTACTGAATACTGATTGGCATTTAAAATACAGTTTAATCAGAACTTCCCAATAGATTTGGAATGAGGTTAATCTTCTGCATGTGGTACTAATGTTGGATGATATGATGTGTATAGAGGGATAACGATTTCCATCCATCACGTGTATATCTGCACCATTTGCCCACATAAGGAGGCATTTCTAAAGTTAGTGGGTAAGGGGAGGGCGATATTGAATTGAAATTTGCATCATTTACTGATAGTAGATTGAGGGTAAAGAATTTTCATCCGGCGCATAGGATGAGGTTTTTCTATCGACTTATGATACTCTTCGTCATAGACATCTCTCACCCTGCGTACGTATGTTTTGAAGAACCAACAATATGCGAATCCTGCTTATTGTTAGTGTTCTTATCAATTGCTATACAAAGATATCTGAAACAGCAGTGATGTATGCCTTTTGTTTTCTATTGCAGAATTATGGTGCTGTCGAAAAAGTTGACTTCCATGGATGAACTTATGTCATGTGATCCTATGTACCTAGCAAAGGTAGATCTGTCACTAGCTTTGTAATTTTCTCTAAATTTAATTTGTGTATACTTGCTATGCAGGTTGGTAGGGAGAGACAGAGATTTGATTTTGATGATTTTGATAGTGTTCCTCAGAAATTCACCATCTGAGACAAGCAAAGTTCAGCTTCTGAGTAAATATGGCAAATGATGCTAGATCTGTTCATTTGAAGTATAAGCAAACTTTGTTTCCTGTGCCCCTCGCCAAAAGTAAGAAAATAGTTGTAGTTAACTCCTGGTTCAGTTAGTAAGTATCAAGCTTGTTTCCTCTGTCGCTTTGTCTCATTTTGTTTGGGCAGATTGCACTGCTTGCTCTAGTTTCTTTTGATCTGACAAGAAGGATACTTTCTCCTTGCAATAGGACCCTAGGACTAGGAGGATCAGATTCATTTGATGTTCTAGTAAATTTATCTCAAGTAGTAGTTTGCGGAATGGTTAAAGATCTGCCAGCTTTGGGTTACGACAGACATGGATAGCTCTTTCTTTTTATTTTATTTTTTGGGCAAGTTGAGATGAGTTGTCCCGACTAATTGTGAGTCGCGCTGCGCAGGGCCTTAAAGAGGAAGTGCTCTTTACCAACAACAAAAAAAAATCATGGCTTGAACTCGAGGTTCAGATTTGTTTCGTGTCTTTCTTTCAATGATTTAAGTTAACTTTGACAAGGTTAACTTTACAAAAAAATCTAGTGTAATCTCATAAATTTGTTTCGTAAAAAAAATTTTGTTTGCAAAATATTCAAACAACAAAGAGAAATACACATTGCATTCCCGTTCAAAATCAAGAAAATTCTATTTTCAAGGATTGACCCACTAATTTAAAAGAAACTTCCATTTGTAATAATAGCTTGAAGTCGATGGTGACTACTGCTCAAGCCACGAATTAGCAAATAATGCCTAAATGAAATGTATGAACCTACCTCTTCGTTTTCTTTTTTTTTACAACCATCGGGTATCCTGTACCCACAAATCCGATTAATTTGGATTTGCACTACATAGGGCCCGAAAAAATGCCCACCTCCAATAATTTCTCTAAACTCGAGATCTAATTAAGAGCGGAAGGATCTCATTCATTCCGCCACATTCATCGGTAGTAAAAACCTAACCTTGACATTACAAAAAATCCAAAAGGCAAAATGATACTAACCAACAAACCTAACATTTCCTTTTAACACTGAATGAAGGTAACCTTGACATTCAATAAAATTGTAAAGCAACATGGCCGCTAGGAATTGGTAGCACATCAGTCATCAGTGTGACAATCTCAATTTGGTTCTCCACATATCTCCTACTACTTTCCTGGGCTGTGGATTATCTGGTCCTCTATCCCGCTGTCCAGAGGTGAAGTACAACCATCCATCCCAGAACCCGGCCAATGTCGTCTTCGCACGGTATGGCATCTTTCCGATGACGGACCATGTCTGCAGAAATAGTAAAGAACTCAATGTTACAAATCTTGATTTTACTCTAAAAGTATGTGTGCCAAGTGATTAATGAACATACTAAAGATGTTTCTCATAATTATGTAAGACTAAGTATACGTGAGGACGAGCATTTGCATGAGAATTAGTTAAATGATTCTCTTTTTTTTTTGGCAGAGCCCGGTGCACGAGGCATCCCGCGTTCCCGCAAGGTCCGGGGAAGGGTCGCGCACCCAAGGGTATGTGATGTAGGCATCTAACCCTGATTAGTCAAATGATGTATTCTGAAATAATGCACATACGCTATGCGCGGTACAAAACAGGTGAATATTACCAGTGTGTTCAGGTCGAATCGGAACACCTCTCCGACCAAGATCATCCTTTTGGTCACAGGATGCTTTTCTGTTGTGCCTCCAACAATAACAATAGAATTATTTACAATAACCCAAGAACATTCTATATGCGAATTCGGCTTTGGCATAGAAGGCAACCCTTTCCATTTCATATCTTCATCCAGCATATAAACATCGCCATAAACCACCTGAAGCCACAGACATAGAAATTAAAGCGATATCCTGAAAAGAACTTTAAAAATAAGACTATAAATCAAAACCAGCAGATCAAACTGAAATAATAATACGAAAGATTTAATACCTCGAACCTTCGTGAGCATTTAAAGATAGGGGAGCCAGGTTTGGCCATGAAATCGCCCTCTTGACCACCAATTACATAAAGATGATCATCAACAGCAATACAAGCCCTGTAGGGAATAGTTTCATAATCAGATTTTGAAGTAAATTGCATTTCAGAAACCAGGTTTATACTTTTGAAGAAAACATGATGACCTTGATTCTCACAATGTGAATTATGTCTTTCATGTAAAATAAGAACAAAGGGATATCTGCTTCCGAGTTACAAAATCTTACAAAAAGAAGATATAGCACATTTAATCTTCTAATTGAAGATAGCATGAACAAAGACAAATCATTCCATATTAATAACTTAGATTACTTCCATCCCTAAGATATTCCAAGCAAATGGCGAGGGTTCTTACTCAAAATGCAGCCTAAAGCACTAGATTTTATGCAAGCAAATGAAAAAACATAGATACCTTATCAAAAAAACAAAAATGAACCAACATATACTCAAAAATCAAAATGCAGCCTAAAGCACTAGATTTTATGCAAGCAAATGAAAAAACATAGATACCTTATCAAAAAAACAAAAATGAACCAACATAGCTTGAAGACACACTAGCTCATCAATAGTTACAGTCCCAAATATGAAAATAATCATCCCTATGGACACAAAACAGATACATTGTCTTCCAACTAATTGGAAAAGAAATTTTCCAATATGACCTGTTACACAATATGAATTGACCTTTACCAAAATTATGTTACTGAACAGTTTCAAACTCAATCTTGAAACATTTGACCTCAACATAGTATCAACTTTAAATCTCCTCGTAAACTCCGTGATTAAATGGAAACAAGGGGCATTAGCTTTAGCTTTTTAAATGATACTTTCTGGCATAAGAAGGTGTGAAAAAAAGCAACAGAACAGACCTATGTGGTCCTCCACGAGGAATGGGTACTTCAGTGCGCCATTGCTTCTCTAAGGCTTTGCCATTTGCTACTGCAAGACTCCAATGATCTATTCCAGGAGTGTGACGATTCTCTTTACTGCCACCGATCACATGGAGTCTGCCTTTCCAAAGCTGAGTTGCTGGTGCATACCTGAAAACATGGAGTCAGTACTTTATTTTTGAGTATTAAACTCATCCTTAAAGTATTTATTACTTCAATATTGTATCACTATGATATGATGCTAATTAGGATCCTGAGGAGATGAAGAGTTTGAAATATGGTTTGGTGGTTGCTACCAAGACAATTTCACAAAGGACCCCGCTCGAGATGCTAATCAACAAATTTGTAATAAACAGGACACAATCGAAGAAAAAGATCTATATAGGTGATACTTACTAGTTAGGAATAAGCTTTAAATTTGTTAGAGGACCTTTAATGTTATGACTATTTTTTTTAATTATTATTCTTACTATCATTTTTATATATGTTTTTTTTTTTTTTTTTGATAAGGATTTTGGCAATAATGATATATGAGTTGAGCTTAAAAAAAAAAGTGATGATTCATATCGCCGACCCTGACTTTGTTTGGGATGAGGCGTAGTTGTTATTTTTGTACACCGAACGAGTGAAATCCGTGTAAATACATCAGCTTCTTACTCGTGCAAGTGATAATAAGATTGATATTATATCAACAACCCCTATTTCCTGTCATATTGTGATCACTAAATATAGGACTATATCTAGGTTTAATGTTACAAAAGAAACACATAGGTAACAAACTTATGATACATAGGGTGTCTCCATCAAAATATAGGTGTTCTGCGCATAGTCAGTGAGGACACATACCTCGGTGCTGGCAATGGTGGCAAGCTTTCCCATTTTCTGGTTTCTGTGTCCAAAACAAATGTATTTGCAGTAGGGCCCCTGCATTGCGGACCATATTGTCCTGTCACAATATATATGTATCTTCCATCAGTAGCCACCCCTAAATGTGAGTTCGCCATATCTTTTGGAATTTCAAAACTCTCTGTCCATGAATCGGTTGAAAAGTTGTACACATCAACATGAGAATGCACCTATAATAAGCACACATACATAGTATATATTAACTTCCCAATTCTCAGATTTCAAGCTACTAACTCTACCAATTCACCCCAAAAAAAAAGGAAAAGGAAAAAAAAAGGGAAATCTTTACATGGTCTAAATTTGCATATCCTGCAAAAACATAAAGCAAATTCTTGATTTGAATTGAGTACCCATCCAAACGAGGCACAGGTGCAGATGGCATTAGTTCCCATTTTAATTCAGGAGCAGGCAAATCAGCATAGGTCATTGCTAATGCTCTCTCCGGGTAGCGATCCCTATTACTTTTTCCTACTTCATGAATCTACAAACAGCAAAATATGACAAATTTAAAACAACCGAAATACTAGAAATGACAACTTTTTGTAATATTGGCAGTCCACAGAGAAAAATGACAAATTAAAAACAACCCAAATCATAAAAATGACAGCTTTATATGATACTGGCATTCACAAAGAAAAATGAATTATATAAAACAACCCAAATCATAAGCATGACAGCTTTTTACAAATTTGACATTTATAGAGAAAAATGACGAATTATAAACAACCCAAATCCTAAAAAGACAGTTTATTATTATATTGACATTTGCAGAGAAAACCGTCAAATTAAAAATTACCCAAATCCTAAAAATGAAAGTTTTTTTAAGACTAACCTTTGGAGAGTCATTATTATTGGAGACGTTAGCAGTAACAATACGGTATTTGTCACGAGACCAAGAGCTAGCAAGGGAAATATAAGGAGAGGAAGAAGCGGAACGAAAATCCCTTGTTAAGGAAATTCCAAGAAGAGCAACGAATGCTAAGAGAAGAATGATGGGTTTTGAGAAACTGTGTTTTCCTCCTACTGATCTTACCATTTCTGTTGTAATAAGTAATACAGAGAAGCTGAGGGTAGGGAATAGTCATTATTTGTTATGATTATAGCACTGATATATTGATAGGATTATCAGTGTAAAGGATTGTTTAAGAGGAAGAAGCGCGGGCGCTAATGGTTTTTCTCTTTGCTAGTTTGCTTCACCGTTGGTTTTCTGCCTCCTCTCTCCCTCTCCCTCTTTTTCTTTGGTTAATTTCTCGGTCACTACCTATCTTCCTCCCTCCTCTTTTATCTGAATATTCCTTGCCATAGAATTTATCTTATTCTTTAAACTTTACGGCTAACATTTTTATTTGAACACTCAAACTAATTTTTTCCGTAACTAATAAACATATTTGTCATTTGATCGTACCCATGCCGCGTCAATTGGTCCTAATCAGCATGACGCGTGAGGAACACAACGCACATGAGTGTGAAAGCCCCGTTCCCAATGCCCAACATTACAAAATTGGCTGTATTTAAGTATCTTCTTATTCATTCCTTCTAAAATACCCTCTTCCTTCATTTTTTAAAATCTAAAGCTCCATTCCTCCTTCTTGTAAAATCTAAAGCTCCATTTTTATTTTTTATTTTCTTTTTTTCGGACCGTGAAAATGATGAAAAGTTGTATATCTTCTCATTGTGGAGTTTAAGCTAAGTTTTGCATCTTGGACCAAATGAAGCTCGATCAGAACAAGATTAACATATAATAAACGAAAATAAAATAATGGGGTGAGTGATTATGATCGATTTTAAAAGGGGGTGAGTGATTATGATCGATTTTGGAAGTTCATCCAGCACGGCTGACCTCACGCCATATCCACCACCGTAAACAAGTCATTTTTGAATGTTGGAGAAGGTGAAAAGAATCTAGAATATTCTGAAATTCAGTGATCGAAAAAGGTGAAAAGATTTTTTTATGCAAATGGCGATGGGGGTCTTAACCACGAGGAAATGACAGCTTTGGTGGTTGTTGTAAACCCTAGAGTCAAATTCAACAATAAGTAGATAAGTGCCATTCTCGACGAGGTTTTTCGAACTTATGGAGAATTCATCGATGGAGAGAATGGCCTTACATATGATGGCCTATTGAGTGCCTACTATGATGGCCTATGGGCCTTACATATGATCTTTCGCTTTCCAAAATCTTCTCACCTTCTCCGNGGGGGGGTCTATGGAGTGAAATAGGGTACCAGGGTTAGGGTTTTCGCGCCCTTGACGCATAAGTCATCCATTGGTCATTTGCTCACTATATAGACACGTATGTGTATGTGTAATACACACACACATGGTCTCTTGTCGGATGCGTTTATTAGTTACGGAAAAAATGAGTTTGACTGTTCGAGTGTTCAAATGGCAAAATAGAAAGTTTATGTGTCGACTTTTAAAAATCCGACAAGTTTAAGTGACCAGGAAGCCAACAACAAACAACAACAACGAGACTGTTTTCGATAGACTCTCGGCTCCCTCCCTCCAAGAACTCCCCACTTTGCTCTTGGGGTGACTCGAACTCACAACCTCTTGATTGGAAGCGAAGAGTGCTTACCACTAGAGCAACCCCTCTTGTCAGACTATATCAAATGTGTGAGTGATAAAAATAGTGTTTCTGATTCTTGTGTCTAGTGTCGGCGACTCCGGCGTTAAGTGGCCAGGAAGCCATTCCGCCTATTTAGAACTGCATAGTAAAAGTACCATAAATCACGTCGTTTTAAAAATGTGGGTGGTACATCGGTTTTTAAGATCATCTTCTTCAATTCAAAAAATAACTGATCCATCATTTCCTTAATATAAAATAATCTTGTCAAGGTAGTTATATGGTCCATTATTAATGTTCTTTTAGTAGTATGATCTGAAAATTCTATGTTAAGACATAAGAAGATGACAATTAAATACACATGAGATTTTTGCATGATTTTTTTCTTCCCAAGTAGTTTTCTAAAAAGAAAGACTTTTGATTATGGTTTTAAACATGCCATAATATTCATATGACAATAAAATCATATTATTAAGATAATACGAAAAAATTTGAAATTAAATTATGTTCAAATATATAAAGATGTGTTTCCTTTTTAAACAAAGTAAAAAAAATAGAGACACATAAAATGAAGTAGAGAGTACCATTTATAAACACACACACACATATACACACACGAAAAAAAAATCATGTATAATGGTCTATGATCAATATATAATAGATGTATAATTGTATACTGGCCAGTAAAAGTATACAGTGAATTCATTTGCTTAAAGAGGTAGTCTTCATTTGGGCCAACTTCCATTGATCCTCCAAAGGCCCAAACTGGATCAAATTAACTGGGCTGTTTTCTTCTTTGGGCCGAATACCATTAATTCTCGGAAAGCCCAACGAGAAAAGATAGAACAGCTCGTACTGGAGCAAGCAAAACCTCGTCTTTGTATTCTGAGTTTTCTCGAAGAATAGTCTGGTTTTCCGGATCTCGCAGGCCCTTTTGTCCTATCGCCGTCGATCAATTATCTCTACAATCCCTGCCCGGTAAGCTTGGTCCTTCGTTTCTCCTCAAATACTTCGAAGCTCTTAGAATCTGCTTGTTTCATTTTGAAAAGCATCTTAGGATTCGTCTTTCTTGTTGACGCTGTTTTGAAAAGAAAAAAATTCAGATCATAGTAAGCGTATTGAGTTTGGAGTATAATAATCAGATCCATTGACTTATATTTATCTCATATTTCCTAAATTATTACCTTTTTGGTGCACTGACAGAGGGCTTGACTAAAAATGTTGGGAGGTAGAGCAGTCCATCGGTTATTAGGCAGGAAATTTCAATCTGAATCCTCGGTATGGCTGTACTTTGCTTTTTGTTTTTACTTTTTAGCAGATGTATATATTCCTGTTTGTTGGTTTATGTAAATAAAGAGACGTTATTGCCTTCAAATGCATACCTTAATTAATCTCTTCAAATATTGCTTCTAATCTCCCGGTTTTTGTGTGCAATGATGTCCGTATTTGAACTGCATTTCATTGGCCATTCTGGAAACAATTGTTTAGTTTTTATTCGATAATATGTTAGGTCATATTCTTGCACCCAAGGGTGTGGTTTAGTAGTCAATGAAGTGGATGAAGAACTATGACGTCTCAGGTTCAAATCTAAGCTGAGACAAAAAAAAAACAATAGATGATTTCTTCGCACCTGCCTAAGTCTTGGTGGGCAGAGTAACCCGGTGTTCGGTCTAGTGGGAAGTAGCAGGTAGCTGGTGGAATGGTTGAGATGTGCACAATCTGGCCCCGACACGACCGTCATAAAAAAGAAAGATGATGGTTCATGTTTTGACTTGTGTATGTACAAGAATAAAATATAATAGTGGATTGAAGTTTTTAAGACTAGTAGAAGTGGGTTATGTATAAATTTAAGTGTAGCTAGATTGTATTAAAATATTCAATCGCAAACTGGTGAGCATTCTGGGACAATGCAAATTGGAAAGAGGATAAGCATTTTGTGAATTCGAGTCACCCCAAGAGCAAGGTGGAGAGTTCTTGGAGGGAGGGAGCTGAGGGTCTATCGGAAACAGCCTCTCTACCCCAGGGTAGGGGTAAGGTCTGCGTACACACTACACTCCCCAGACCCCACTAGTGGGATTATACTGGGTTGTTGTTGTTGTTGCATTTGATTGTTTTTTCCATATTGGGGTCTGCATTTTCCTGCTTGTGTACACAGTTATATAGGTAAAAGTGTTGTACTGCTTGGTCTCATATAAGCCAAAAGGTAGCATGAGAAATCATGGCTGTTTGTCTTAAAGCTCATAGCTGATGTGGAAGATTTTGTGATTGCTACTGATATAGTTGAAAGACTTGGGTCCTATCAATATTTCATGTTGTTCAGATTCTTTCATTAAAACCACATGAATTTCAGGCCTCTCCAATTTTATCATCCATTGCTTCCAAACAAGCTCAAGAAGAATTTGGATCTTTTGGCATGAAGTCCCTCAGATCATTGGCACTCATTGGAGCAGGTGTATCTGGACTCTTAGGTTTTGCGACAGTAGCATCTGCTGATGAGGCTGAACACGGATTGGAATGTCCAAGCTATCCGTGGCCTCACGCAGGCATTCTTAGTTCATATGATCACGCGTCGTGAGTTACTCCTGAATCTCCTATTCCCTCTTGGCTCTCTGTTATCTTTTTTTTGTTCCCCCTCTTTCCTTGTCCCTTCGGAAGAAAGGATAAGGACTTCAGACTTTTATGTGTTTTTCTGATAATGAATGTTTTGTGAAGTGTATGTTTCCATCCCTCTAAATGATAAGGATTTCGGTGACTCTGTGGAATTTGTTTAGAGGGATTTTGACAGGTGCATCCCAACAATTATATGGCTCAATCACTTAAAGAGCACTACGTTCTGTTTGCGTTTACCTGTGGTTTTGTTTAGAGAGAGGCATTGCATGGAATGACCTTTCTAAATGAAGTGCTGTTCCACCCAGACAGAGAGTGGAAATGTTGTTCCATTCTCATGTTTGGCCCAAAAACATGGAATTTCCACATATGAAATGAAAAAAAATGCCAAAGGATTAGGATGAGCATTCCTGGAGAGGGCTAGAGGATAGTAGGACTTGGCTGGAAAGGGCTTTTCCTAGCATAACCTTTCCTACTCTTTCTTACAACCCACACAAAGGGGTGGAAAAGAGGAGATAGAGTGACGATATTGTTTTAAGAATTTCATGATCCAAACATCACATTGCTGTTGTGTTCTAAATGTTGCATCATTTCATTCCCAGCATCAAGTATGAAAGTTACTTCTTATCATTTGGTGACAACTGTAATTCTTGTCTCTCTAATTTCAAGACGCCAATTATAGAACATCATAGTAGTCACCTTTTGCATCTTTGCGTTTATGAGATATTCGGCATTGCTTAAGTTTATACTACTGGGATAAAAAGAAAGTGGTTGAGCCTTGCTTACAGAATTCAACTAGCTGTAGTCTCTTTTTTTTTGTTGATAATGAGCTGTATAATATTTTTTTAGTTGAATTGTTTTGGGTGCTCTTTTGGCAAACAGGATTCGTCGTGGTCACCAGGTTTATCAACAAGTATGTGCATCTTGTCATTCAATGTCACTTGTTTCATATCGTGACTTGGTTGGGGTAGCATATACAGAGGAGGAAGTAAAGGCAATGGCAGCTGAGATTGAGGTGGTTGATGGGCCTAATGATGAGGGTGAAATGTTCACTCGTCCTGGTAAACTGAGTGATCGTTTTCCTCAGCCATA